ATGGCTGATGGGACAAAACTACCATCAGTTATCATTTTTAAATTTAAGAAAATTCCACGAGAGGAGTTTCCTGATGGTGTAATAATCCGTACCAATCCAAAAGGCTGGATGAACGAAAATGAGATGCTCTGGTGGGTGGAAAATATTTGAACAAAACGCGCAAATCGAGACAACAATCTAAAGTCCCTTTTGGTGTTAGATTTTTTTTCTGCACACAGAACTGATGCTGTTAAGCAACGATTTCGTGAAAAAAGAACTGATTTGGCAGTTATTCCAGGTGGCCTAACATCTCATTTGCAACCACTTGATGTGTCACTAAATAGATCTTTTAAGTCAAAAGTAATTATTTTACCATAACTTAAGTAATTAAATAATTTATTAAATTAACCTTAATTTTTTAAAATTAGGTACGAAATATTTATAACAACTGGATGAGTGAAGCTATTAAAGATTATACATCATCTGGAAAAATCAAAAGACCATCTTACTCACTTGTAGCAAGATGGGTAAAGGAAGGTTGGGATGCTATCGATATCAATATGATTAGGCGGTCATTTAAGTATTGTAGCGTTTCGAATGCTATGGATGGGATAGAAGATACTTTAATTTTTGATTTTGATCAATTAGAACATAGGGTGAGAAGAGAAGATCCTGGAAGGGAAGTTGAAGGTGAGAGAAATGAAAATGATTCAAAAAAAAGTGATTCAGAAGAAAGTGATCCAGACTATGATAAAAGTGAATCAGAAGAAAGTGACAAAAGTGAAATTAGTGTTTGTATCCGGATATCATCTGGATAAATAAACCCGTCTCCGTTAAGAATTTTAAATCCGGTTATCTAATAAAATATTTTTTACAAATCCGGATATCCATCCGGATTAATCTGTGATCTTCGTAGATGTCTAACGGGTTATTAGCGAGTTTATACCCAGATAAAATCCGTGAACTTAATATAATTTATTGTATTTATACATATATGATTAATATTGTATAATAATTTGTAAATGTAAAAAAAATAAAATTTATCTCAAAAGCATGAATTTATTCGTGTAATTTATATAAGGTATAGTTTAAACATCAATAGGAGTAGTAGTTAATTGTTGAGCTGGATGAATATTAGCAAAATAGAAACTATTCCGTTTTAAGAACATAACATGACTAAATAACTCAGGTTTCATTCATGTTCTCTTAACAGTTAAAAGATTTTCCGCGTCTGAGAACAGTTATTCTGAAGGAATAGATGCCGCATTTGGAGAGGGAGAAGTCAAAAAAGAAGTAATATCGCTTTTGCGATGTGTCATACTGGAAAATGGAGTATTACAAATGACGATAAGCAAGATAAAAAGTGGTTTAACGCGTTTTAGTATTTTTATTACTTGGTGATTCATGTAGCGAAATATTAGACATTGAGACAATTATTACTATATTGTGCAGATTGGCATTTAATATTTCTTAAAATGTATTGATCTGCTAACATAAACGGATATATCTGGAGGATCTGTTTAGACTAAAATTGTATCCGGATAACGTCAACTCAAAAAAACCTTTATCCGGATACCCACTTCTTACCGGATATCCATTAATACAACCAGATTTGCTATATCTGGATACAAACACTAAGTGAAATAGAAGACAGTGATGAAAGCGAATCAGGCAATAGTATTGAAAGTGAATCAGGGGATAGTAATAAAAGTGAAACAGAAGAAAATTACTATAAAGAAAACGAAGAACAAATTGTAATTCAAGATTGGAAATAATAGTTCAGCTAATGTCTTTATGCATACTGTTGTGGTAATAATGTATTATGTAATAAAGTGAAGGTTTTTCTAACTTACTGAAATTTGTATATTATCATATTAAAATAACAGTTTCTTAAAAAAAAAAATTTGTTTTTATCGGCAAGACAGATTTAAATTTCAATAACTCTTCAGTTATTGGTTAAAAGTAACGCGATTTAAGTAATACAGTTTATCAATTATTGGTAAATTAAGTAACACAAATTAAGTAATACAGTTTATCATTTATTTATAAATAAAAAAGTTATTGGTTAAGTAAATAAAATACCCAGGTCTATATCAATTTACCTCATTTAAAAAATTAAATTATACCCGGGTCTAAATCAAAAAATTTTATTTTTTGTCTAATAAAATACCCGGATATATTACTATAGGGGTACGCGAAAAGAGGGGTACCTTAGGCAGTGCTACACGGTAAGTACTCGAGTATGATATAGCCTTCGCGTAATATAGAAGCATACCAAAAAGAGATATGAAGTTGGCACCTCCAATTCTCTAACCAACTGATCCATTAGCCCAAATCCCAAATGCCACTCAAATATTCCTCAAAAGATGTGGAAAGGGAAGACTAGAGTCTGGCCACATGATATCAAAAATTTAGGCGCAGTAAGTTAACGATAATTTTGGCCAGATTTTTGGATATAATAATTCGGCATTCATGGTGGGTGAACTAATAAAATATCCCTGAATTGATACTGTGCTGGATGTCATCTGACGCCGAGCCCTCTGGGAACACTATCATATGATTCTCCTAACAATGTGTGTATGAAGTATCACTTTATACAGAGCCCTTTGGGATTACTATTATATGATTCTTCTAACTATATATGCGTAGAGTATCATCTGTCACTGAGCCTTTTGGGACCACTATCATATGACACTCCTAATACTTATCTACTTGTGACACCCATTTTGAAAAAAAAGGCGCAGAAATTTTTTGCTTAATTTCAGCCGGTACTTTCCCATAAATTCGGCCAGATCTTTGGACATAATAACTTGGCATCCAAGCTTGCATACAAGTGGCCTGAAACTGGCAAACTAATAGAACTACTCTAGTTCCCTGCCAGTTCCATAACGGTTCTATGATACTATCATGGTGCCATCGTGTTGCCAAGCTGGAACCTAAAATCACATTCCTAAAAGATCGGCCAAAATTATGGTATAATACCTAAGGTTGCTTATCTAAACCTCTTCAAAATCCTACGATTAGTTTCATCAAAATTTTACTATAGATTTATTATAGTTTCGGCAGAGTTTCGGCAGTTTTGGCATTTATAATAAGTTTCGGCAGTTTAGCCATTCTCCAAAGTTTCGCCAGTTTTTTAATATAAATTTAATATAGTTTCAGCAGAATTTAACTTTTCAGAAAAACGCCATCTTGCCTAAACCCCTAGGTTTCGGCAAGCAACCTTAATAATACCGGCCGAAATTAATCATGAATTTACTGCACTACCTGTCACCTTTTTTTACACCACTTTAGTATTTTGAAAGGCAACCAAATAGACGTAAAAAGGTAAGTACTTTAATATAGAATTTGACATTTAATCAGACACAGAAGGTTAACATCTCGACATAAAACCAGGTATCCAAACAGCTACAGAAGGTTGACAATAGCATTATAAAATTTAGCATGTAAATGACTCAGAAACAAGAAGAAAAGAGTGGTATTTAAATTATATATGTATGGTAATTAGATTATATTGTGGTAATAAAAAGTATATTAACATAAAAAACACGAATATCAAGAAAGACTCAAAGACATAGCTAGAATGTAAAAGTGATATAAGAAATAATAAAATGTTAGAGTATATGTGGTATTTAGACCATAATATTTAGATTATATGTGGTAATTAGATCACATCATTTAGATCATATGTGGTATTCAGATTATATGTGATATTTAGATTATATGTGATATTTAGATTACATGTGATATTCAGATTATATGTGATATTTAGATTACATGTGGTACTATAATCTAAAGTAAGTGGGATACCATATGTGATATAATTATATCACATGTGGTATCCCACTTGGATTCATATTACAAAAACTGGTTTGTATTTAAAACGGGTGCAACTGGATATCCAAACCGGTTTGATATTAATAAATTTTATGCTTAATTTTAAACAATCATTTTCATACAAACTTGAAAGTTAGATTGGAAATTTTATAAATTTTTACAAATATATATTTTATTTAATAAAAATAATTATTGTTTTTATTGGAAATTAAATAATTATATTGTTTTTATTTTATATAAAGTATAATTCTTTTTATTCGGTACAATGAATGTTTTTAAGTGCTGATCATTTTGCGTAATGCATTTTTTAATTAAAATAATGCAAAAATATCATTTTATTAGGCAAAATTTATATACAAAAACTAAAAATATAGCTACTAAACTAATTTAATGAAAGGAAAATATCAAAAATATCACTATTTACAATATTTTGTTTACCAATTCTGGAGATAATTGAGTCTGCCAGAACTTCAGACATCTCTTATAGAACTCACAACTGACTTTTTGCCAAAAAAGACCCAATTTGCTCTTTTTTTATTTTCCATTTTTTTGCGATTATCTCAGTATCCAGTGATCTGATTTATGCAGATCTTTTTTTATTTTATAGAGCTCAATGAGCGTTACAAAATAAAAAAGAGTTTGTACAAATTGGACCACTGGATGCCAAGATAATCGCAAAAAACTGATTTTTTTTTTGTGAAATTGAGGTCAATCTGTGAAAAAGTTGCCACTGTATTGTATATGTAATGTCCAGGGTCCTAGTCTGCCTAGCAAAAATATGTATGATTACCAGCATCTGAAAATAGCCGCTCACTAATAAGGTTGCTTGTTTAAACCTCTTCAAAATCCTACAATTAGTTTTGTCAAAATTTTACTATAGATTTATTATAGTTTCGGCAGAGTTTTGGCAGTTTTGCCATTTATAATAAGTTTCGGCAGTTTCACTTTTCTCCAAAGTTTTACCAGTTTTTTAATATAACTTTAATATAGTTTTGGCAGAATTTCACTTTTCGGCGAAACGCCATCTTGCCTAAACCCTTAGGTTTCGGCAAGCAACCTTACTCATTAAGGACTGATGCTGCAGGGATAAATAAATACTTTCTTGCAATTTGAGTCAAAATTGGTAAAGTAATTTTATTAACTGACTACCACTTCAATGGATTATTCTTCAATCTGATTTGTTTTTATTTCAAATAAAACATCACTTTATTATTATCTTTCACATTTCTTTCTTTATCTTTTAACGCTTTGAAAATATTGTCATCATCATCTGAAGAGCTAATAATACTATTAATACTATTTCTAGACAGGATATCTTTTTTTGTATCATTATATAATTCTTGAACTAAATTTTTAGCTTCATCTTTACCATTACCATTACACCAATCAAAGTTTTTAAAACGAGAGTTCAAAAATGTTGCAATAAGCATAATGTTAAATGGTATTAGCCAGAGCTCATCTAAAGATAAGAAAATAGCTGCACGAATTTTTTGTAATAAATCTTCTATATTCACAGATTGCAGGTATTTTATAGTATTTACAGTATATTATCCAAATTTGGTTCAACAGGACGAGATACAGATATTCCAACCCTTCTACAACCTTAACCCCAACCCTGAATCCTATTTCGTGTATTTTTACGTTTTTGATATTGAAATTGATGATGGGAATACTGCCAATATTGTCTTGTTCTACCTGATGGAATATATTCATCATCACTAGCAATATCAGAATTCTCTTCATCATTAGAGCTATAAATTAAACTAAGATAGGTGTCCAAAGTTTTAGGTGCAAAATGATTTTTGAGTATATACATACACTACCCTCCAAAAAGTATCCGGTCAAGCTCTTTTTGATTTTCTCAAAATTGAATATATAAATTATCATTTTTTTAAAAAAAAACCAATGTTCCTAATTCTGAAGATTAAAATGGATGTATTTTATTGTGTTATGATATATGTACCAGATTTGGCGATTAAAACAAATAATAATGCCTCAATTTTGCCAATGACAATCTTTGCTTTTTTTGTTCACTACGCCACTTGGCTATTTTAAAATGGGAAAAACTCATGGGTTGAGTGAGTTTGAACATGGACAAATTATTGGCTTCTGGAAAGGAGGAAGAACTCATGAAACTATCAGTCATGTCCTAAAAATTCCAAAAAGTACTATTACAGACACAATTTTCTGATACAAAAATTTAATACTGGATTAACAACTAAAAGAACTGGAAGACCATGTTCCATGAATAATAATGATCATCGTAAACTTTTGAAAATTATTAAAAAGAATAATAAACTTTCTTTGGGTGAAATTCAGCAGAAATTTCATAGTTCACAGGAAAAACAGATTTCAGCTAACACTATTCGTAAAAACTTTCATCAAATGCAAATTTATTCCCAGGTTACTGCACTGAAATCACTTCTTACAAAATCTTAACATGAAAAACGGTTGTCATGGTGCATAGAACGGTAAAGTTGGTCTGTACAATAATGGAAAACTATCATCTGGAGTGACAAATCCAGATTTACATTTTTTCAAAATGATGGTCCTAGTCGTGTTTGGCGAAAAAATAGAACCTGATACGATATTGAAAATTTGACTCCTACAGTTAAATACAGTGGTGGTGGTGTTATGATGTGGGATGCTTTTCAGGAAAAGGACTGGAACCATTGATAAAAGTAGATGGTAAAATAAATAGGTTAGATTATGTTGATATTTTAGAAAAAAATTTACTGCCATTCATTCGATCAAAACATTACAGACAACGTTACACAGTTCAGGATGACAATGCTCCAGTTCATACCACAAGAGATGTTAAAAATTGGATTGTACAGAAAAAGACTAAGATTCTTTCAGATTGGCCTTCCTAATTCCCAGATCTTAATCCTATTAAACATTTGTGACATGAACTTGAATGAAGACTTCGAAAATGATCTGCATATCCAAAAAATTTTTGTAAACTTGAAGAAGCATTGCAAGATGAGTGGGAATGAGAGCATGCCACATTGAATTGAAGCATGCATTAAAAACAATGGATGGCCAACTAAATACTAATTATTATTAATAAAATATAATCTTTATTATTTGACCGGATACTTTTGGGAGGGTAGTGTATATGGAAAAATAAGACTTAATGTTGAATATTTTGCACCACTAAATTTGTGTGTTATAGTCTCAAATGGTTCTAAAGTAACAATCATTTGCTGAAGAAATCTATTAGTAAAACATAGAAGTTAATAAAAAATAAAATTTTTATAAAAAAAAAAATAAATAAAATTTACATTTTTTCATCTAGGCTTAAGCATAATCGCTCTAATTTTTCTCCTTTTCTTTGTGATACTTGATCAGATTTTGAGAGTAAATCTGTAGATACATTCCTCATATAATTATGCAACTTAAGAACTCTTTTTCAGGCTATAAATATCAAATTCCATTTAGTTTTGACATCAGTCAAAACTTCTAGTGGATTCACATATTCATTTTCAGATGAATTTGTTTGGAAATTCTGTTGTGCTGCATAAAGTCTTTCAGCCTGTTTAGGTAAGTGAAAAAAGGTCTGTAAACTTTTTACATAACGATAAAATGCTTTACATTGCTTTAAACCTTTCATTACTGAAAGTTGCAAAGTATGAGCAACACAAGATTGGTGTTGAACTTGGTCAAAATAGTTTTCTTGTAATAAACGAACTGCTTTTACCATATTCATGCCATTATCAGTCGTTACTGTAAAAGCTGTTGAAGTTAAGTTCCAGTCTTTTAATATTTGAAACAATTCATCACAAATAACCTCGCCAGTGTGAGGATAAGAAAGGTGGTTGTATGATAATAAAACTTCTTGAAATTCAAAATCTAAAGTTAATCATATTGCAGTTATACCAAGATAGCCATATCTAGATTTGAAGGTTCAAAGGTTAGTTGTCAAATGTATTGTTTCTGTTGTGCTTCTTAACAAGGACTGAAGTTGCTCTTTACCCATATGTATGCTGAATAAAGTACACTTTTAATTGACTTTTTACAAGGAATTTTATAACCTGGTTCACATGTTAGTAAAAGATCTTGAAATACTAGGTTTTGTAAAATAAATAAAGGTTGAACATTTTTGATAATAAAAGAAGTCACTTTTCTGGTAATTAATTCTTGTTATTTGGGGAAATATGATGAAGAATTTGGATTTGTGAGTTCAACATGTGACTATTAAATAATTAATATAATCCATGAGATTTTTTGTACGATATGGTTACATGATTTAATAATATAAAAATACCTCTTCATATTCATTTAAATATTCTGAATAATTATTCTTAGTGATATTTTGTTTATCTCTTAGGTATATTAAAAGATTGGATGTATTCCCACCTAACCATAAGCTTTTTTATTTGTATTTGTAAAATTTAATTCACAAATTTTACAATAGGCCAAATCTCCTTCTACATGAAAAAAATATGACATATGACTGTGGTTTTTTTGAGCTGAAACAGTTTGGTGTATAATTGTATTATCCTCACTTATTGTAGAATTAGTGTCATCAATTGTTTCAGAATCAGAAAATGTAGATGGTAAGCTTGTCATTTTAACTATTAATAGCAAAAAAGAAAATGCTTAATTTTTTAGTTTAAAAAAAACACTGTGAGAATTATTTTTAATGAATTATTTTCACGAATTATTTTATGAATTCATATAAGGACTATTTTGATTATGATGTAGTTTGTTGTGAAATAATTAACCCAAATCTAGATGTTCAGATGTAGATCATAGTAGAATTCATTAGTAATTAAATATAATTAGAAAGCCAGAAGTATGACCTTATTTGCGACTGACTTTATATTTATTTATTATGTAAATTGATTATCAATAAATATAAACTGGGTGCACAATTTGGTTTTAACCAGTTTTGTAAAAATCAGTTTGAAATGAGTCAAACTGGTTGCATCTGTTTTAAATTCAGTTTTCAAAAATGCAACCGGTTCCAAATTCTATTCATATGAATGCATTTATATAATATTATAAATAATTTTAGCAAAGTTTTTTGTATAAAGAAATAGGTTATAGTTGATCTAGTGCACTGGCATGGTGCACTTCTCCTATAATTATCTATGATAGAAATAAAGAATACAGATCAGCCAATAGATGCTTTATGAATTATACTGTATGGGCCTATTACACTGACTTTAGTTTAGGGCTCCGATCGGTTTTGGTAATTACCGAACTGAACTGATCGGTTTTGGTATCGGAACAGTTTTGGTATTCTGATTTACTGAACTGAACCTTTCAGTAAATTTACCGATCAGTTTCAGTAACTTCAGTTTCAGTATCAGTTTTGCAATTTACTAAACTGATTTACCGAACTGATATTTTTGATATCAGTTTCGGTAAATTTTACTGATCATTTCGGTAAATTTACTGAACTGATTTGCCGAACATTTCGTGATGTTGATAAAAAATGTCGCAAAACGTTTTTTTTGATAATTTAATAAAAATATTGCAAAACGTTTTTATTAGTTAATTTATTTTAAAAAAAACGGTTTGCAACGTTTTTTTTCATAACTCAATAGAAAATGTTGCGAAACGTTTTTTATTAGTTAATTAATTAAAAAAATGTTTCGCAACATTTTTTTTTGATAATTTAATAAAAACGTTGTGAAACGTTTTTATTTGTTAATTTATTTTAAAAAAAACGTTTTGCAACATTTTTTTTTGATAATTTAATAAAAATGTTGCGAAACGTTTTTATTTGTTAATTTATTTAAAAAAAAACATTTTGCAACATTTTTTTCAATAACTTAATAGAAAATGTTACGAAACATTTTTTATTAGTTAATTAATTAAAAAAAACGTTTCGCACCATTTTTTTTAATAACTTAATAGAAAACATTGCGAAACGTTTTTTATTAGTTAATTAATTTAAAAAAAACGTTTCGCAACATTTTTTTTGATAATTTAATAAAAACGTTGCGAAATATTTTTATTTGTTAATTTGATTAAAAAATGTTTTGCAACGTTTTTTTTGATGATTTAATAAAAACGTTGCAAAACGTTTTTATTTGTTAATTTATTTTAAAAAAAACGTTTCACAACATTTTTTTTCAATAACTTAATAGAAAATATTGTGAAACGTTTTTTATTAGTTAATTAATTAAAAAAAAAAACGTTTCGCAACGTTTTTTTTTGATAATTTAATAAAAACGTTGCAAAACATTTTTATTTGTTAATTTGATTAAAAAAAATGTTTTGCAATATTTTTTTTCAATAACTTAATAGAAAACGTTGCAAAACGTTTTTTATTAGTTAATTTAATTAAAAAAAACATTTCGCAACGTTTTTTTTCAATAATTTAATAAAAACGTTGCAAAACGTTTTTATTAGTTAATTTAATTAAAAAAAACGTTTTTGCACGTTTTTTTAATAAAAAATGTTGCAAAAATGTTAAAAACTGAACTGATAATGAATCGGTAAATTGGTTCAATTTTCGGTATTTACCGGTCAGTTTCAGTATTGATGATTACCAAAACCGATCAGTTTTGGTAATTAATAATACCGATACCGATCAATTTGGTTCGGTTTCGGTTTTGGCAAAAACCGTACTGAACCGAACCGATCAGAGCCCTACTTTAGTTACAACTGTATTATCAACCAATAGTAGACTATCATCAAAGGCAATTTTATTCTGAGCTACCAATATATTATTATAGATTAGTTTTCTAGTGCATTTTATTTTTTTATTTCTTTACCCTTTACTTTAATGTATAGTGAGCAGGACATGCTTAGGTTCATTTCTTCACAGGTTTGTTTTTTGATACCAGGATGGTACTGTCATAATGATAGTTTAGCTTATGATTTAGTTTAGAATTAACAAATAGTTTATCCTTATAATTTGTATTGTGATTTTGTTTATATGAAATCTAAAAATAAAAATAAATTTTTATATAAAGAAATTCAAATTTGAAAGAATGATATACAGATTTTAGCTAAGATTTTAGATTAGTATTTCAAACTTTCAGTTTCAGCCATACCTTTAAAAGGTTTCAGTTACAAGTATAAGAAAAATTAAAAAGTTTTGGCAAATTGACAAAATGCTAAAATAGTAAAACTTTGCAAAAGTTGGCAAAACTTTAAAGAAAAGTAAATCTAATAAAATTTATTATAAATACTAAAACTGTTAAAACAAATTTTAAAAAAAACTAATTATAGGATTTTAAAATTTATAGCTAAAATAAACTAAGATAATTTTTAATAAACCAATAGTTATTATTAAATAAATATTTGTAATTAATAAGACTAAATTTTGACAACTTTTTATAAATTGTTTTAAAAATTAATTTATTAATAATAATAAATAATTAATTAATATAAAATTTAATATAATATATGGCTAAATTATAATAAAATGTAAATAATAGATAAATCCTTTATTTTATATAAATACTTATTTTTTATTAAATTATAAAAAATATCATTAGTAAAATTGCTTAATAATATTCCAATTTAAGTTTTTTTTTTAAAATTTTAAAGTTTATTAATTTTGATATTTGGAACCATACAATATAAATGTTATACATCATGAAAATACAGAAAATAAGTCAACCATTCCCAAATATTCCAATTTAAGTAAAAATTAATATACTATAATTTTAAAGTAAAATTAAACTATTATTAAAATTTTAGTATAAATTAATATGTAAATTTGCAAAAAATTACTGTTAACAGTATTTTTCTATTTGCCCTATTATACTATATAATAATAAAATATATTTATAAATCATATATTTATAATTAACTGTAATGCCCTATTATATATCTTATTTGTAACATCTTGAAATGGTGCATATTTATTGGTCAATTTGTGTCACGTGATATTAAGGAAATTTTGCTCCCTGTTATACAAGGCTACACGGTTTTACAAAAAAGGAAATTTTTTTGCCAATCACTTGATAAAAAAATGGTTTTTGTCAAATAAATAAAATATGACATTCAAAACCACCTTTGCTATCTTAAATTTGCAGGGAAGACAAAAATTACGTTATTTTTTAATATTATATGTATTATTGTCATTTGTTTTAAAGGGTGTTACAAATAAGACATGTAACAGGATGTTACATATACATTTATTCTTATAATTAAAACTATTAAAAAAGAGAATTTAAATTAATTCTGGAATAGAAATGACGACTTAAAGGTGACACTGATGTCTGATGGCGAAGAAACATATTGGTAAATTGTAATAAAATTATTTATTTATAATAATAAATACATAAAAAAAAATAATAAATGACGTAATCTAGTTCGACTTCCACAAAAGTTGATTTCAATAAAATCATCAACTATTAATAGATAACATACAAATATTTTTACTTCTAATGTAGTAATGAAACCAAAACTAAACTACCACACGCTATAAAAATGGGAATTAGGAAGCTAAAAAAATATAATTCAGACAAATTGATACGTGAAACAAATACGTAATTATGGGTCTGAAGATTTATAAAGATACAAGCAAATGAATCGAATAAATCATTCGTAAACTATCATCCCTTATTTCCCTTTTTTTGATTGTTTGGTTTACCACACCAAGAAATAATAAAAAACTTTTTTCATGACATGCCCTTATTTTAAGAGAACTAAGGCAAAGAGTGCGAATAATCTTGGTTGGATAGAAGTTTCAAAGCATAATGTTCCATTTTGAAACGATGTATACCGCATGTGGGATGAACCGATAAATTGATTCTTGGGGTAGCGCCTCCTTTTTTTGTGTTATGAAATGGTAATCAACTATGGAATAAAATTCCCATTAGTTATTTTTCAGCAAAATATTAAGAATTTCACCGTCGTCTAAAGCGATAAAGAACGAAACGTCAAAAAGACAATTATATGAAGCGACTTAAAATGAAATGAGATAGAATATTATAAATACCTATCGTTGGAGTAGGCCATACCTCCACCTCCACCGTGATGGTGAAGCATTTTACGACCTTTCTGACCACGACGATTACTTTGATATGTTACTTTCATTCCACTACTAATTAAAGACTGTTCAAGAGCAATTCGTTGATTTTGCTCTTCTCTTTCCTCATAATTTAATACCAACTTCTTGAGCTGTTGTTGCTCTTCACGTTCAGCTTCCTGTTTAGAGCGCGTATTAACTGCTAAAGCACTGTCTGATGGAACTTCCATCGTTTTCCTTCCTTTCTTTGTTAATAAAGTAAACGCAACATTACCATCTAAAAAGTCTGAAACTTTATCAGAACCCTTTAGATACATAGGAATTGCCACATCTAACATGGCGGGTTTACGTTCATATTTACGAGACTCCATACTCTCAGTCATCATTCTGCTGAACTCTCTTTCAAATTCTTCGTCTTCTTCAGTAGGAACTTTCTCCTGTCTATTTGTATGAACAATAAGTTCATCATCTCCTTCGTCGTCGTTGACTTCATCAGTTTCGGGCTATAATAAAAACCATCATATTACCCAATATACAATAAATGAGTTATTGTCTTAGTAAAAACTTACTTCTTCTTCAGCTCCTTCTGCGTCATCACGTTCTCTATCTATTTCTTCATCTTGACCTTCATCATCGTCGTCATCATCTGAAGATGACATTTCGCTTTCTTCCACGCCATCCTCCTGACTTTTTGATGTCCCCTGGGCATCTTGTAAAGCCATATGATTTTCCATAAGCATCTTGTCTACTTCTCCTGCAGCTTCTTCGTATGTTTTATATATGGTTATTCCTGGTCTTAGCATCTAGTAAACACATACGAATTAAGCAACTGGAGAAATCATGCTTATTTAATATAAATTACTTCTTTTTATACCTCAAACAAATCAGCAACCATAAATTCGATGTCCATAGGAAGTCTTTGTTTTGTAAGGATATACATCTGCAAAAAAAAAAAAAAAAAAAAAAAATGGTTGAAAAAATGTACATAAAAACCACTATTCATATAGTTGGCTCAAGAAGATAAAGTATACCTGAAAGAAAACTAGAAAATCATCCAAACGCTTCATAGAACTACCTCGATCGAAGCACATACCGCATGTGTCGAGCAAGGTACAACACAAACGGATGCGAAAGAAATCAACTGGAGCGTCTAAGTGATTAATACGGTTTGGGGCGGGACGACCAAACTCTAAAAAAAAAAATAAACATTAAATATAGAAAAACCAAAAACTCAAACCCAGAAAGCGTATTACAATAAAAAAAAGAATGGTATATTAAATGTACCGTGACCCAAAGTAGTAATGGAATAAAGAGTTTCAAAAATAACGGCCGATTCTACCATTCGGTAATTATAAAGTTCACCAAGATATTTAACAGTTGCAATACGGCGTTGATTGTGCTTAAAAATGTTTTGCTAGTAAAATGTCAATTTATCATAATTTAGTTTTGCGCACATTATATGTATATAATTCACATACTTACCTCTAAACCGATCCTGATATCCTCAATAACTCTATCAACTAAGGCTACACCAAAATCAGAATGATAACGATGCAAGCCTGAAGCAAGAATAGCCATTAAATGTATGTTACTATATTTAATTTTCCACACCTTGGAGAAACATTTTTCTAAAACCCTGTACACCTATTGTTAAATTTTGTAAATTTTGTAAACAGAATTTACCAAATTATCCAAATTATTTATTTTCATTACAATATCCAAGTAGTAAATTCCTTACTTCTTTATCTTCCCAGTTTAATTTACGAAGCAATTTGAGAATTTTCTCAACAGTTTTCTTGTTAAGGTCAGAATAAACTAGCTTACGAATGTATTGTTCCATAACCGATCGCTCCTTCTTAGCGATCGCGGTTCGGTCAGGTGGATTACACTAGATTTAATGAAAAATAAATATGTAATAAGTTTTAACAAATTATAGGAAAATTCTTGTCTATTTAAAAGTCTTATACCTGGTAATATGCGTTTTCAACCATCAAGAGCTGTCGACTATCAAGATGTTGGACGCTTTTCTTTCTCATCATTATTTCCAACTAAAAAGTGTTGATAAAAGAAAATTAATAATAAAGCATTTACTATGTGCATCAATCTTGTTCAAAAAACTACTTGCCATATTACTCATTCTGGTACTTGTCTCAGGACTTTTAAATAGAAACCTTCCACATGTTTCCAGCAAATTGCAAGCAACATCAATGTTTTGATTCGAAAAATCATCGAGTAATACTTTAAGGCAATGGAAAATTATATGTTGTGGTGTAATTCTGAATTTTGTTAATTCAGAGATATATCGAATATTCTTGAAAATTGTTTTAAAAAAAAACTTTAATAAGTATTCTTACCAAAAAACGCTCTTAATGAGATAAATGAATACAACCTTAATTTTTATTTCGAGAAAATCATTCGTTTTCCTTTTTTGCATGGATTTGAATTCACTTTCCAGCTAATAACATAAATTTTAATAAATGTATTTGCATACATTACTAAACAAAAATGACTTATAGAATTAAAAATGTAACTCACATAATGCAAAACTGCTTCAGTGATGTCTGGATAATGCGGATTAAGCGTTGCAATTAAGCGCGAGTAATAAGGAAGAAGGTCAAGTCTTGTTCGAGGTACTCCTGTTGTTAAAGTCTATATATTTATTATTATAAATTTGAATTATATTCAAAAGTGATAAACAAATAAAGATTATTTATAATAAATTATTACTTTTATCAATTTATTTCTAGATGCCTTGGAATTTAAATAACAAAAATCAACTGCTGCTTGATCAATAAGGTCACGGTTAATCATATTAGGAAGACGTGACAACAAAGAATCAAGTTGGGCCAATGTGCCACTTTTGTTAGTCAATTCGTTATCCGTTTTTGTAGATGGTGAAGCCTGAACATCTTGATCTTTTTCTTTAGCCTCTTCCTCTAAATTTTTCCCATCAACCTCTTGATCCTCATTCGCAATTTTCATATCACCCTTATCATCTTCGCCATTTCTTCTTTTTTCGTCATCAGACTGATTATTTTCAACTTTTTCCTCGTCTTCCTTGTCTTCCTTTTCGAGTATATTAATGGATTCATCTTTCTCAATATCCGCATCATCTTTCTTGCTACTGGACTTGACCTCAAGAAGGACGCCAGGTACCAATGTTTTAAGGTCTATGAGATTCTCGTAAAAACTACGTGCATCTTCATCTTCCCAGATACTGCTGGTAACAATATCCTTAATTAAATAATGAAAATAATTATCAATATTAAGCCGCGTAATTTCCATTGTTAAAACATATAAAATAAAAACCTCTTTCTCGTTGGTAAAAGATCCATCACGTATAATTGTACCACTTATTTTTGTTGTACCCTCATCTTCAGGCAAATCGGGCATCTCAAGATCCAAAGAATCCGCCAAACTATAAAATAAATTTCATATAATACATATTTCAATAACTAAGCAAATGATTTAATTTAAAATGAATAACATATAATTAATTACACTTGAACATTTTGCAAAAACTTATCAAAAGCTTTCACGACTTTTTCGTAATTCTGCTTTGTTTCTTCTGGAATTTCTCCTCGAGTAATATAATATTCGTGGTTGCTACGATCTAATGCCTTGATTTTCTGTTATTCCGTATGAAACCAAATATTAATGCATGCAATACTTTAAAAAAAATACGTTTAAAAATAAATGGTACCTGATGGTCTTCAGTTAAATGTTTTTCCACGCCATTGAAATAACTGACCAATAAAGATTTGAAAAGAGCTCGTTGAGATTCATTCACAATTTGGTTTTCGCTGGCGTTTATGATATCTTTTTCACCATTAACCGATGAGTTGTGACCGTTCACGACTGGGAGTATATCTTCACCGTTTTCATTGGATGCGATAGATGTTTCATCGCGATGACTTTTACGACCGACCGTACCGAGCATTTCCGTGCCAAAGTATTTGATGAAGGATACTGCCAACGGTAAGTTGACATGTTTGTAGTCATGAGAAAGCTGTTCATATTCAAGAAACAGACACTTGTTCAACAATGCCTGGCTCAAATTGGTTATCGACAGTGGAAATCATTTATACAAAGGGAGTATACGACAAACCAAATCTTTCAACACAGTATACATGAAACCTTCCCCGGAAGTCTTTGTCTCTTTGGTCTCTTTCTCTTTGATCGGACCGCTGACGAACCCGGCAACATTTTCTTTGACACCATTCACGCTTCCGGCTCCTACTGCCGCGCTTCCACTATTTGGCGCTGCAATTCCGTCCTCAACATTTCTAAGGACGCCTATCAACCATAATTCACCTGCGATTCTTAACAAAATCCGTTGTTTCGCAATTCGTGCAGACTCCTCTTTTTCACGTTGTTCATGACTAAGAGCTGCAAGCTGTTGTTTACTTTGAGGAGCAAGAGAACGAGCTAACATATGCGTCAAAAATGGGGTAAATGTATCCGGAAATCGCTGATGCAAAGCGGAAATCACCTAAAGGTAGTTGGTTTCAAAAAATTTACATTTCAGATTACATTTCACTAAAATAATTTTAAATAAATCGAAACTTACTTCAACAGTAGCCCAAACATCTGCTGCTGACTTACATTTTTGTAATCCTTCAACCACAGCAACAACCACTTCGGAAATATATTTTTCAAGGGTCAATGTTTTAATATCTTTTAATAGTTGTTGTTGGTGTTCTGCTGATAATTGAGATTTACACTTTTTAATGAACGTGTTGTTCTTTTTTATATTTGAGTCGAGATTTTTGAATGCAGAAGAATCTAATAGCAATTAAAATAATATATACATATGCACATATGACATAATGTAAATAAGGTATAAATCACTTAATAAACCAAGATAACGATTTTTATACACACCAGGTTTCCCTTGTCTCCAGGCTAATAGATTTACATTTCTTAATTCTTGACGTCTTTCGTTTTTTGCTACTGCTTCTGCCTCGGTTTCCATTCCTGTTAGAATTTTTTGTTCCTAAATATTTAACTATGAATAAAATTTGTAAGCAGCTTGGTACGAGTTATTTATTACCGTTTAAGCCTCTATAAAATCAAGAGTGCCTTTTATAATTCTTACCTCTATTGTATTTTGATCCTTTTGAACTTGTTGTTTTGTTTGTTGTTTATCGAAAGTACTTCGGACATTTCAGCGAAAAAGAGAATAAAACTAGGAAATGCGCCGCTAGTACTTAAATACCGAATAAAACGCAGTTTTTTTAAATCGTATATAAAAAGTTATTAAGGCGCAGTTTCACTCCTTGAAAAGTCACATGTAAACTCGTATATTTTTTATAGCTCTGGACAAAAATCATAATCAGATACTGTATTTCTAGACATTAAAAATAAGAAGAATGTCGTATTTTCTTCCTCATTTGACTAATGGTATGTGGTATATTATGTTTAACTCAACTTTATCGGTTATTTAAACATTTGTTTTAATTCTTTCAGGTTGGCAAGTAGATCAAGCTATTCTATCTGAGGAAGATCGTGTAGTTGTTATTAGATTTGGACACGATTGGGTATCCGTTATATTCAGAAATTATGTTGAGACATTAATTTTTATTTCTAATGCCCTTAATATTTAATAATTAGGATCCTACTTGTATGAAAATGGATGAGACTTTATACGGCATTGCAGAAAAAGTAAAAAACTTCGCTGTTATTTACTTGGTAATTATTTTACTTGGATGTTTGTACTATTATTACTTGAGAGAGAAAGATTATTTATATTCTAATTCTTTTAGGTTGATATTACAGAAGTCCCCGATTTCAATAAGGTTTATTTACTTATTTATTTATTTATTTTAATTTCTTGTTCTAACCCATTTTTTCTTTTTTAGATGTATGAACTTTATGATCCTTGCACTGTTATGTTCTTTTTTCGCAATAAACACATCATGATTGATTTGGGAACTGGTAATAATAATAAAATCAATTGGGTTAGTTCTTTTCTATAAATTTGTTTTTTTCCTACAAGGAAAAATGACATGAAATTACGCATATAATATTCTATATTTATCTTCATTTATAATTAGGCTTTGGAAGATAAGCAAGAACTTATAGATATAATAGAGACCGTATACCGTGGTGCAAGAAAAGGAAGAGGGTTGGTTGTTTCACCTAAAGATTATTCAACGAAATATAAATATTAATTAAATTGATAAATATATATTGAGTATATAAGTATATAATTAAATGGATATGTTATTCTAGTACTGAGTATTTAATACAAATAATGGACTTTGGAATTTTCAATTAATTAATTAGATAATCCAATATATATTAAAGAAAAAAATATTGGTATAATGATTGTAATTTTGCCAGGATCATTCAGCATTATAATTATATAAAAACATAAGGAATTGCTGTATTTAGCATCTTAAAGACTAAACCTTTCAATTTTAAATTAAATTATTTAATCTACATATAAATACATTTTGATGATTATTAACTAAATTTTTTATTGCTTATAATTGTGAATTAAATAATTATTAATTAAAATTGTAATAAAATCTTTCATTTATCAAAACCTATCTAATACTAATAAAAGATCTTTTATTCAAGAAATGTGGAATTAATTATATTAAGCTTAATTAAAAGCTGTAAAATAAAATATATAATATACAAATTTTATATATAAAGTCTGTACAAAAATTTTGGTTATATGTGAAATTTTTTTTTTTTTTTTTTTTTTTNTCATGAGTTTATTAGTTATATGGAATTACAGATTTTTCTGCTATAAGCATAACTAATCTATTAAAACTTTGAACCAGTTTCCCATCCTATAGATTGCTCCCGTACCCTACCATCACAATATGAAATTCACCTATATCTCTATAGTAGCTATCAGATTATATAGGATCATTATTATCCTATGACTTCAGTATGTGCTTTCACTACCCTCTAAATAAAAAGGAGAATTATATATATATTTATACATCTTGATATTATTATATACCTTCCAAATTATCCTGTATAAACTGATTTATATACTGTCTTATTTTTTCAAGAGAAATTGACCATTGTTCATTATGTTTGAGAATTTTCCTTCCTTTAAAATTATACGTATCACCTTCTATTTGCTGAGTTAAAGTTCGTTCATATGCAATATGTTGATGTGCTGGTATTTTCTTCTTTGGGTCTTTTTTCTTGATTCCTCTTGTGCATTCCCATTCTGTTACTTGGTTGCAACATGGTTGCCAAATGATTCTATAAAATTCATTAATAAAAATTTCTAAAAACAGAGTAGTAATTGTTAGTGTAGCTTTACAATGGATTTGAGTTTTCTATATTTTTCTTTTGGAAAGAAGTTCCTTAATATCAAATGTATAAAAGGAATAGGTAATTCCTGATTTGAACCTATAATATAAACAAAAAAATTCCTGTTCCATGACATTGATTGTTGTATATCCTCTTGATTTAATTGAAGATAATTCTCTTGTGAAAGCAAATCTTTGAGTATTTGTTTACATTCGTATCTAGTGTTGTTAGCCACCGTCAGCCACTTGTCTTTGAGTTGTTGACAATAGATTATATGATCATCATCTTCATTTTTTTCAAGATACATCCTGCACTTTACATCTCCATATAAATCATATTTCCTTTCTTTCATAATCTTTAAAGTTGGTAGTAAATTGTTTATGAGTTTCAAGTGTTTGATGAATCTGTTGTTATTATATGTGAAATTTTAAATACATTGAATTTCTAATTCTAAATATAATTATATAAATTAATTATTATATATCTTTTAAAATAAATTAAAAAATGTAAAATTATAAAGATTTTAATAATAAAAATAAAACTTTAAAATATTATTATAAATTAATATTACTGTATAATGTAAGTCATAATACTTTTTATATATAGTATTCCCTTTTTTTTTGAAAAAATATCTATTTTCTTTTAATTTTATTATTTAAGAGTAGGATATATATTAATTATTTTAATTAGTAATTTGCTATTTAAAAGGTAACATAATTTTTAAACCAATTTCAAATATACAGTATTATAAAAAATTTTTTGCATTCTTTTTTAAAGATTTTTAGTTTTATTTATTACAAGATATTTTTATGTTATTTAATTATTTTATGTTTAAAATCATAGAAATAAAACTCTATAATTTTCAAATGAACTGAGTTTTTTTAAATGAAAAAAATAATATTTATAAAAAATGGGAAGAAATATATAATTTGTATAAAAATACTTTAATTTGTTAACAAATCTACAAATAAATATTATTCAATGCATATTTTATTATATTTTATGCTTTTAATTATCAAATATAATGCCTTTTAATATTTCTTGATATATTAATAAATTATTTTTATAATGTTTTATATGATAATAAAAAAGAAATAGCAATGAATAATTGGATACAAATAATAGTTGCAATATTTGCATTTAAAATGAAAATAAACTTAAATAATATATAAATGGTAATTCATATGAAATATCAATAAATATAAGTATATATATAATTATATATATATTTGATAAACTAATATTTTTTTACTTTTTAATAATATTTTAATATTATTTACACTTTTATAGCTGATCTTATTTAAGAAGTAAAATGTGTGAAATATAATAAATAAAAATACAGTAATTTATTTTATTTTTTATAGTAAAAAGAATATTTGTATAAATTACTCTATAATAACAAAGTATTGAGGTAAATATTTTTTATATATACCGTATTTTATGATAAGTAAACATCCTTTAAAAATAAATACTCATAGCCAGAATTATGGTGATTTTAGCCAGAATTATAAGGATATTGACTGGCATCAAGTGCAAAAAAAGGGTGCTTATATATCGCAAAATATGATATTTATTAATAATAAAATAAATATATATTAAAAAATAACTAATTTATTTAATTGAAATACTGTATAAATAGTACATCTATTATTGCAAATATTGAGTAAAAATTAATTAATAAACTTAAATATGCTACTAGAAAAATTTTTGAAGTTTTCTATTATTATAACTTATAGTATAAATAATTAAATATCATTAACAACTAATTTAGCAATATTAAGTATAGCTAAATGAATAAAAGCTACTTACATATAATAATTGTATTAATCAAATTGCTAATAAGCTAAAATTATTTAATAGTAAAAAAGAAATAATAAATAATAAAATATCTTATATAAATAGATAAACAAATTAGTTCAAATGATAATACAGTATGTTAAATATATTTAGAGATAATAAAACTGCAAAAATAAAACAAAAAAACTGGAATACTTTACCTGTATATTTAACTAAAAAAAAAAGGTATTGAAATTTAAAGATTTAATTGCCGATCTGCATGTGATCGATAGAATTTCCATAGTAAAATGTGGCACAATTTTCATATATAACGATGTCGATCATCAATTTGTATTACAATAAAACAATGATTATATGTTATACAATTGCGTAATTTACAACAATTATTGTGCGACAGGGATCTTAAAAATTCAAATTCGCTAAAAAAAAAAGTTATTATATCACAGCTCATGAAGTTTTATATAGGAAAAAAGAAGATTTCATAATAGTTTATTGGTATAGCCTGCTAATTTCTGTTTTGACAAAATACCTAATAAAGGGTTTTTAACCTTTTTTTTGCGTTTATTAGGCCATATTTGAATAGTACTGCCTTCAACAGCTGTTACGCTTTGGCTATTTTCCATGTTTTCTACCAGCGCTTTTTCTGATGCTTCCTTCTTAAAATTAGCACTATACCTTCCTATCCACCCCTTGATCTGTCTAGATGTGTATAAGAGACAGGTACTATAGAGATTATCAATTTGCGCAGGAGAGAAATCATTCCATTTGCCAATATGGGGAAGAGAGCGCGCACGAATATATCCAGCAAATTGACCTGTTATTGGCCAGTTCCACTCGAACCATTTTGAGATGCCAGGTATAGTTTTAGGTTTTTTTTCATTAGTGTTTTTTGATTTTTGGTTATTCCTATTATGGTCAAGAATATGTATATTGAATTTTTTTTTTTATGATTTTTTCAGGACTTATTAACGTCCTATATTTTTCATTTTACATTTTTTCAACTATATCAGATACTTTTTAGATAGTTTTGACTAATTAGTTCGTCCTATTATTTTTTTTAACTTTTGTGTAATATTTTTTATTTATGATTACCGATAACCTCATTGTTTTTTTTACTAAACATTGTTATATTTTTTTATTTATGATTACCGATAACCTTATTTTTTTCTTCA